GACGCTCATATACACGGTGACACGCATCGATCGTGTAATACCACGGCTCTCTCACGTGTCATCTCACCATGTCGGACGATCATAAAACGGGCAAGGCGGACCGCCCGGTGTCTCAGCAACTGGAACTGCGGCCGGGAGATCGCTTATCCTCGAGGACGGCGTCTCCGGCTCGGCTCTCCACGGAACTCGCCCTGAAGGTGCGGACGCAGCTGGGTCGGATCTCTACTCTCAAGGCCATCGCAGAAATTCTCCCGGAGTCCCTTGCAGAGATTTCTATTGAAGAGATAAATCAGCTCTGGCTTCAAATTGAGGAGACGCACAAGGCGTTTCTCAAGGAAAACACCTACTTCGAGGTCTCATGGCCCTCTGCGCTCACTCATCACGAGCATTTCTCGGGAAACGCTCATCAGGAGGAAACGCTGTGCCACACGCACGCGCAACGCATCATCGGCGTACTCCGCCACTCACTGACAGCTTCGTCCGCTCAATCAACCTGTGGTTCGTCGGTCACGCCCTCGAACTGAAGACACGGTGCAATCGTCGAGACCAGCTCACACGTCTGCTCATCCTGCTCAACTCTACTCGCCACAGCCGTGGTAGCTCATCCACCACTCATCGCTCAGCGCGTCTACTCATGGACGCAGGATCCGAACTCACCTTCGTCACGGAGAATCTCATCCGGCAGCTCAACATCCCTCGTCACTACTCAAGTATTGTCGTCACTGGAATTGCAGGCAAGGAGTGTACTCGGACACGAGGAGTCGTGTCACTCACGTTACGCTCGACACATTCCAACGCAGCTGCCACAATTCAAGCTCATGTCCTGCTGACAGTTACATCAATCTTACCATCGTTCGAGGCAGAACCGGAAGAATGGCCGCATCTCAAGAACTTGGCATTAGCCGACCCTGATTTTCTCATCCCGCGGCCAGTTGACATCCTCATCGGCGCAGACGCTTACGGGCAAATCATCAAGCCCAATATCATTCGGCATTCTCCACTCATACCGATAGCGCAACTCTCCATTTTCGGATGGCTCGTTCTTGGACCAGTCAATCGGGAAGCAACACGCACATCAACGCACCAGGCTTCCACTCAAGTCAACGAGGATGCTCTCAACGAGTTACTGACAAAATTTTGGGTTCAAGAGGAAGTACCTACTCACGATGTCACTCAGCTCACTCCTGACGAGCAGAGGTGCGAGAAGCACTTCAATACTACACACTCTCGTGATTCTTCAGAGAGGTACATCGACAGGATTCTACTCAATTCACCAGACGATCTTTTGGGTGATTCTTACAACGTCGCTCATCAATGTCTGAAGGGATTACGCAGACGATTCTCAAGGGATGTGAACTATCAACGTCTCTATCAACAATTCATGATGGATTACGAGACGCTCAACCACATTACGAAGGCATCATTCATCTCCAGTCATCGCTCACATTTTCACCTGACACATCACGGTGTTCTCAAGTCGGCCAGTATTACAACGAAACTGCGGGTGGTTTTCAATGGCTCTAGCGCATCCACATCAGGCTACTCGGTCAACTACCTCATGTACACTGGAGCAAAGCTACATCTGAACATCTCAGATGTTCTACCTAGGATACGTAGACATCGTCACATTTTCGCTACGGACATCACCAAAATGGACAGACCGATTCAGATTCACAAGGATGACTGGGAGTTACAGCGGATACTCTGGATGGACAATCAGCTCAATGAGGTGCCATATCATTCAACAACGGGCACTTACGGGACGAAGGTTGCACCATTCTCAGCCGTACGGACCTTGTTACAATTAACAAAAGACGAAGGACATAGTTTCCCACTGGCTGTGCCAGTTATCACTCACGGCAGGTATGTCACTGATATATTTGGTGGTGCAGATACAATACAACAATTGCAGGAGGTCGCAAATCAACTAAGGGGCCTCTGCATGGCGGGCGGCTTCCCACTAACAAAA